AAATGTGATTTTCACTCTCTCCTGCTTCTTCATTTATTCTGGTCATTCTTATGTTATTCTTCTTTGCATCATCTAGCAACTGCAGGATGAATTTCTCATAGTCCCTTTCTACTTCTAAGAAATTTTTCTCTTCCTGGTCAATAATTGTAATCCTGTCTTCTACATCTGGTTTTCTGTCCTCACATGGGCTCGTTCTCCTACATAAACTTTCAGTGGATTTTTGAAGCTCCTGGATATCCATTTCCATCTGTTTTCTGGATTCCATTGGTTTCCTATGCTGGGATTCCATCACATTTCTCAGCTCCTCTATTGTTTTTTTTAATCTGTGTCTGCTCCAGAGTCATTAATCATGCCTTTCATTGTAGACATAATTTCTGTTGTTATCTGAGAAATTATTTCTGATTTCTTTTTTTCTAAATCCTCTCTCATTCCAGTTCAGGGAGTCCAGGTGGTTGAGTATCAGACAGTCCCATTTCATTGCCCTTTCGAGTTGCCTTAGGTGATCCGGAAGTCTGGTTTTGTGTCTTATTTATGTGAATTCTGATTTCAACAGATGTGTGCTGTGCCTTTTTTCAGGTGACTTTTTGCTCACTCGGTGGGCTTCAATTTTCAGCAAGCCTCAGAGAGGCCTTCTTTCTGCTGTTCACCATTTTGCCAATTTCTGCTTTCAGAACGGTGGCCCTGTGTGTCCCTGGACTGAGCAGTTTCCCAGGCTGGGTTCTGGCTGGGGCTTCTGTACCCTTAGGATGGCATAGGGGCTTGCCTTTGACTGAGACCTGGCCCACCTGTGTATCTATTGTTTTAGAGGGCCTTTAGCTGGGAGCTGTGCGCCCTAGCATCTGAGGAGATTTCTGGCTGGAGGCTGAGAACACTTACCAATGGTATCTGGGCAGGCCTCTGGCCATAGCCTGCCCTCCTATGCAGCTCCTTTCCAGCTGGGTCTTTGGCTGAGGACTGGGCCCAAGTCACTGGTATCTGGGTGAGGCCCTTGCTGGGACCTGGGCACCCACACTGCTCTAGTCCATGCAAGCTACTCACTGGCATCTCTGCACATGTGTACATTTTATCTGGGTGGGCCCTCTGTCTTTTACCTGAATGCTTACGCAACTATTTTCCTGGCAGGCCTTTGACAGACTAGGTGGGGCCCTGGCTAGGAAATTGGTTCCCATACCTCTCTGGGCTTCTCCCTAACACCTGCAAACACTTACTGATGGTCTCTTACAGGGCCTTTTCATAATTGTCCTTTTGCTGGGGATTTAGCTCAGTAGTGCCACTGCCTCAAAAGTGCAAGGACCAGAGTTCGATCCCCAGTAAAAGAAAAAAAAAATCATATATCATGATTGTCCTCTTGCAGGAGAGTTACTGATAAAAATTAATTAAGAGGGCCGGGGATTTAGCTCAGTGGTTGTGCTGCCTGCCTTGCAAGCACAAGGACCTGAGTAAGATCCCCGGGTCCAAAAAAAAAAACCCCAAAAAAACTATTTAAGAGCCCAGGGTGCAGGCACAGTCTTATAACCACAACTACTGGGGAGATCTCAAGCAGGAAAGGTGCAATTTGAGACCAGCCTGAGTAAGTTAGCAAGATCCTGTATCAAAGTGAAAAACAAAAAAAAGATGGGACATAGTTTATTGTGAATGCACAGCTTAAATCTCCACCACAGTGGGAGGGGAAAAAAAGTAAGACCCTTAAAATTGCAGTAGAAAAACTGCTTCTTACTTGTATAAATAAAATTTAAATTAAACAGAGAAATGCCCATTAATACAGCTGTGCCCATGACTGAGTTCAAAAAGCAGAATTGACTGTTTGAAGCCAAAATAATCATGTAGGCAAAGCTCACCAAATTTATTGCATAACACCTTACCAAAAAATGGTTAGGAAAAGATATCTTCAGTTGTAAGTGCATGAAGCTTTTTGGAAACACACATATTATTAAGCAAGGGGATTAAAATATCAGTTACTCTGAGGGGCTGCACACCAGCAATATAGTTGCACATGAAATACAAGTGTTTTAAATTCACGGTTTTCAATATTTTTATGGAAAAGTTTCTGGAATAGTCACAGAAAAATAAACTTGGAGCATGAAGAAAGACTTGTTCTAGGAATTAAGATCAATGACTTGTAAAATTGAAATTATAAAAGGAGGACTAAATATTTCTCCAACTGAGTATAGATATAGGAAAGCCATAAATTCAGTTGTGCTACGTGAGTGTTACAAGTGTGTCAGTGAATGGATTTTGGTGAGGAATAAGTTGAGGTGACAACAAAGGGGCTGAAAGAAGTCCACATCTGTGGGCGTGATAACATCCCAGAGTCACAGCATGATGTGACCTAAAAATGCCTAACGCTGAAGGTCATGTGAAGGACTCTGATCTCAGCCACAGTTGAAAGCTTTCTCTCTAGGCCAGGCACGTACTCCAGGGGATCTCCAAATTCCCTTTGAGCCGCATAGCGATACTGCATGGCTAACCTTCTTCTTCAACTGCACATAATCGAAACCTTCATGAAAAAGGACTGCTGAACCTCTGCTTTCTCCACAGATGCAGATCAGTGCACGCGGTGCCCAACACATGAGTACCCGAACAGAGGCAGAGATGGCTGTCTCCCCAAGACCGTGGACTTCCTGTCCTTCACGGATCCCCTAGGCATGGCCCTGATTTGCACAGCTCTGAGCTTCTCTGCTCTCACAGCTGCGGTTTTGGGGCTCTTTGTGAGACACCGAGACACTCCCATAGTCAAGGCCAACAACAGGGCTCTCAGCTACACCCTGCTCATCTCCCTCCTCCCCTGCTTCCTCTGCACCTTGCTCTTCATTGGCCGGCCCAACGCAGCCACCTGCATCCTGCAGCAAATAACATTCGGACTCGTCTTCACTGTGGCTGTTTCCACTGTTTTGGCCAAAACCATCACGGTGATTCTGGCCTTCATGATTACCAAACCGGGACAATCAATCAGGTGGCTACTGGTGTCAGGAGCCTCTAACCTTGTCATCCCCATCTGCTCCCTGATCCAAATTATTCTCTGTGCAGTCTGGCTGGGAACCTCTCCTCCCTTTATCGACACAGATGCACACTCGGAACATGGCCACATCATCATCGTGTGCAACAAGGGCTCCCTCGCCGCCTTCTACTGTGTCCTGGGATACCTGGGCTCCCTGGCCCTGCTGAGCTTCACCGTGGCTTTCCTGGCCAGGAACCTGCCCGACACCTTCAATGAAGCCAAGTTCCTGACCTTCAGCATGCTGGTGTTCTGCAGTGTGTGGGTCACCTTCCTCCCCGTGTACCACAGCACCAAGGGGAAGGTCATGGTGGCCGTGGAGGTCTTCTCCATCTTGGCCTCCAGTGCGGGGCTGCTGGGCTGCATCTTTGGTCCCAAGTGCTACATTATTATCCTAAAACCTAAGAAGAACTCTGTGACAGGTTTAAAGAACAAGAGCAATTTGAAGAGAAATAGGCATTCTTCGAGTTTCTAAACACTTTTTAAAATCTCTACCACAATATAAAAACATAGACAACAAACCTACCCATTTTTAATTCTAATATTCTAAAGAAATAAAATTGATGGAGCATTTAGATCCCACTTCCTTTTTTAAAGTCATTTTCAAAAGCAAATATAAGCCGGCCACCTAAAAGTAAAGTCAGAAATGCTATCTCAGATGACTGACCCTCCAATTGACAATAGGAATTAAATTCTCTATTTTATCTAACTATACCTGATATATCTGTACTCTGGTAAGTTATTTAAACGATGTGAATTCTACTTTCTACCTTCCTCGCTCTCTTGTCTCCAGTGCAGATTTGAGAGATTTATGATTTTACTGTTGAAATTATTATTTACTAAAAAAAATTTTCCTCCATACAAGCCTTAGTCAACTTAAACACTTTAAATAATCGTACTATGCTGTTCACAAACCTTCTATTCAGCCATCCACGTGGTAAAACAGCATGTTAACCCCGTGTTAAAATGGATAAATAATCCAAACCCTACCTCTGCCCAGCTGTTCTGATACAGCATCTTGCCCCAACACACTATATTTTCGTATAAACACAGGGATGCTTACACAATCCTGTGTTCTAACATTTATTGGTTTGTGGTTCTGCCTCAGATACAAGTGTAATTTTTGGAATTCCACAGCTAAGAAAATTAGCTTTTCATTAAGGTGAAGTTCGCATGACCAATATATGAGCCATGCTAAAGTGAATAAATCAATGTCATGTTTACGCTCACATTCATATCATATGATTCCAATTCACAAATTTCTACCATCACTGCATCTACCTGGTTCCAGAATATTTTAATCTCCTCGTCATCAAAATCCTTCCCCATGAAGCAGTCACTTTCCAACCCTCATGCTCTCGGATGGTACAACCATCACCTCCCAGTTCTACTGATCAGTCTGTTCTGGAGTTCACAGACGTGAGCTCATGCAGTATGTATCCATGTCTCCCTCCTCCACCGCTCAGGAGGGTGTCAGGTTCCTCCACATTACAGTAGAAACCCATCACTACTTTTGGTAACTGAGTAACGTTCCTCTCAGGATGTAATGTTCTATTCCCCCATTCATCTTGAAATAAGCATTCAAGTCACTTCCTTCTTTGGGCTCCCGTGAACACCTGGCTCTGAATATTGTGAAATTTGTTTGAACCCATGTACTTACTCCTTTGATGATAACAGCTCCGAGTAGAGAGGTGGGGTCGCAGGGCAATTGTGTGTTCAACACTCTTAAATGAATCTGAAGGTGTTCACTGCTGTCTATCTACGGTAAGAAAGCCAGGCGTGGTGGCGCATGCCTATAATCCAAGCACTCGGGAGGCTGAGGCAGGAGGATCACTGTGAGTTCGAGACCAGTTTAGGCTACATAGTGAGTTCCAGGTCAGTCTCAACTACATAGGGAGACCCTGTCTCAAAAAAAAAAAAAACCCCAAAACACAAAAATACAGTAAGAAAAGGGTACCATACATCAACTTCTCATAACATTGTAAAACAAAAATGTGTAACTGGATAGGAAGCAACTATCCTGCTCCTAGTTCATTTCTGAGAAATAAATCACTAACTGTTCCATTGCCATCAAAATTTCCTTTGGAATACTTGGACACTGTGTTTACCATTTATTGATCTTCGCCTCTGAATACAGCCATAAACTGACCATTTGTTCTCAATTTCTTGACAACATTCAATTCTCCACCTAGCTCCCCTCTCACGTACAGCTTATGGTACACTGGTCATCCTACGTGAGCTTCTGTTACTCGCCCAACTTCTCCACCCTCCCACTTATCCAATGATGTTTCATATTCAGCATAGATATCATTGAGTGTCTCCAGAATTTATCGAACCACCTTTTCGTCTTCTTTCCTTTCATGAGGAACGACACAAAGGCTTTATTGGTCTACGCATTGACACTTTCCTCCAACTGGGGTACTCTGGGAGTCTCTTGTTCATAGGCTTCTAGCTGTTTTAATTACAGCAAGTCCTCCTATCGGCTCTCCATGAACACAGAGCCGTGGACAATGGGGCCAACTGCAATAGGTTTTGAGCCCGTGACAAACTTCACGCAAGTAGATATCAAGACTGCTGCACTGAACATTATGATTGGGAAGGGTTTCCACCGCATGTCCATATAGTTTTATGGAAAACTATAAAATACAGAACTCAATCATACTTTTCAGACAATTAAAGGAATACCTTTGTAAGGTGCAAACAAAAGTGGTGTGGTTTTGAGCTAAATCTGCTGTTATATCATTTACCTATTCGCACTCTGGAGTTCATAGCACCTGGAAATGGAACCCCCAAAGGATCCGACTTTGAGATGCAACAGACTCACGACAACCCCCGCTGCCTCTGATGGCCCTGGCCAAGCTACGTTGAATGGTTCAACTGTTTTCTATAGCAACTACTACATCATTTGGTGTCCTTGGAAGCAGTAGGAAGACACACATTTCTGCACAAGCTAGCCCCCGTTCTTACTTTATATTTGGATTTTTGTAGACATCTCCTTGTGTGTGAAGAGCTATCTCCTCATGGTTCCATTTGGACGTTCTTCATTTCTCATGAGGCTGAGCAAATTCTCTCGTTCTTTTAAGGATGACAAGTATATTCTTTAACAAACAGTCCGCCACATTTGCCCATTTCAATTGTCCTTCAGTTGTCTTCTGTTGGTGTTTGCAGGCGTTTTACATGCTTCGGCACCGTGGTTTTAGCTAGGTGTCCCCCCAAACTCTACGTGCTCATAGGTGGTGCTTTTGGAAGGTGCATGGATCGTGGGGGTGTGATACTGGATTAGCCCACTGCAGCGCTTATACCTAAGTGTGATGTTGGGAGGTGAAGCTTGGCTAGAACAGGTGGGTCACTGAGGTATGGCCTGAGATGGTCTATTTCTCTCCTCTCCCCTTGATCTGTTTCCTTTTTAAATTTTTGTTATTGGTATGTATTGATAACACATAATGATATAATACATATCTTCATCATGGGGAGTTAATATATGTACCTGACATTCCTTAATTTTTAAACCCTCATTTCCCCCTCCCTTTCCCTCTTTTTATTTCCTGGACCCTTGAAGACAGACAGACAGACAGACAGACAGACTGACAGACGGTATCTTTTAGCACACGTTGATCACATTCCTTGTCAGGAGTGGTGTGTGTACACAGCCTGGAACGG